TGAAGATTAAGATAATTACATTATAGCTAATCTTACCCGTTTTCACAGAATGCAAGTATTAGGTCCCCCGTTTCCAGACTAATTAGAGAATTTTTACGTTTAGTCAAACGAACTATTTTCAACGTTTCTGGAACGTTTACAATCGTTCTATAATCGAACCAATATTCGAATTTTATGTTCGAATTTAATTCGAACAAATTCGAACAAAACATTCGAAATAGAAAGCCGCTTTCAACTACTTTTAGCCTCATATCTCCCGCACCCTTATAGCTATCGAGACGCAACCACCCCTATGCACGAATGGAGACTTGGGGCTACCACCACACACAAACACCATTCACGTGCGATGTGTAGTTTTGGCGAAAAAGTGAAATATAGGGACATACATGTCCATTTATATATATATATATATTTTAGTATTTTTTCAGATTAAAAGCAAGTTATTTTGGACAAACATTGCTCTTGTTTGTCGAATATGAAATGAGCTTAATTGATTAAAAATTTGTTATAGTTTCAATCAACAGTTCAGTTAATTAGCTTTTTCTTCTGTGGCCAAGTTTATCGCATACTGGGTGAAAACCTAACTGTTTTCATATATCATCTATACAGGATGTCCATAAAGTCCGTGTGCAAGTTTAAAAATTTATAACTTTATTAGTATTTGTGATTGAGAAATTATCTAGAATATATTGGAAATAAGAAAATCTATATATTTTTTATTGTTTTATTGTATGTTATTAAGTTTCCACATGTTCACTATCATTAATAATACAGTGGTACCTCAGGATACGAAACTAATCCGTTCCGACACTGAGATCGTATCATGAAAATGTCGTAAGGTGAATCATTTTTCCCTATACGATTACATGTAAAACCAAATAATTCGTTCCAACACGAAAAACATACTCAGATTAAAGCTAAGTAATACATAAAAAACAAAAAATAATAATAATAACTATAGTAAGGAAAACACTGAAAAATGCGTTTTGTAGTTGTAAATGTATAATTAAGTTTTATAATAATAATAGAATAAGAATTGATAAAAAATGTAGTTTTATTTGCACTTTACCTTTGAGGATAGACGACGGCGGAGGTGTAAATTGGTGGCGAAAGAGAAGGAGAAGGGAAATGATACTAAAACTTAACTTACATTACATATAACTTAAAAACTTAAAAATAACTTAGAAAAGATATAAAAAAATTAACAATAACTTAAAAATAACTTAGAAAAGATAAAAAAAATTAGTGTTGTTTTATATAGGCCTATATATTTTTTAATTTTTATTTACTGCTTTTTGCTTTCTTTCCTTCACTTCCACCAGCACTTTTAGGTTTGGCTTTTCCTACTTTTTAAAATGTTTCTAAAATGACTTAGGCAAATAACACTACTCCGAGCAGCAATACGGCCAGTGTGAACCTTTTCGGAATGTTTCTTTTCAATAAAATCAGTCACTTTCTGGTAATACCTCAAGATTTCCTTTATCGAGCGAGATCCTTCCACGACGAAGCAAACACGCGGACTGAGACCAATGAACAGAAGTGAATAAAAAATGGCGCTGCAAACTAACGTAACGTCGTATGGTGAGTTTTTGTTCGTATCGTGGATCAAAAATATGTTCGCATTTCATGTCGTATCCTAAAAATTTCGTATGCTGGGGCGTTCGTATCCTGAGGTACCACTGTACAAAAGATAATACGATTTTGTAGTTCTCTAAAAACATTTGCCAATTGATTTACAGTGATGATTAAAATCACATTAGTTATTTTAGCTTTCAAGTCTTCTAACGATCGATGTTTGGTTGCATACACTATTGTTTTCATATGTCTCCATAAAAAAATGTAATGGAGTCAAATCTGGCGAATGTGGAGACCAAGAAAATGGTCTACTTCTTCCAATCTCTAAAAACATTTGTAACTAAACAATTTTACTTGAAACTAGGTACGTTAATCTTTCTATTATTTTTTACAGATTTTTTCTATCACAAATACTATTAAAGTTATAAATTTTTAAAATTGCACACGGACTTTACTGTATATATAAATGAGGATGTTTGTTTGTTCGCTATGCACACCTAGGCCACTCGACCAATTGTTACAAAATGTGACAGCTACGTTCACATACATCTAACTTTGATAATGTCGTGAATATCACCCCAAAATATCGATTGCATTCCTATATATAAATTAATTTCTATGTTCCAGTTACTGGGTTTACCATAGCGCCATCTATTGGCAAAAATTTAAAAATATTAAATTAAATTAAATTCTTAAAATAGGTATAATTTTTAAAAAATATATATATTATATTTATTTAATTACTGCAACAATGATATTGTGTGTCTATTTTGTGCTATATCATTACTGCAACAGGTAACACATATCACTTGTCTACGTGAATCGAAAGTGTTACCTTGTGAAAAGTCTATAAGTATTTAATTTTCCACATCTTACAACTTCGGTTTTTTCATTTCTGAACCCTACTTTCTTAATTCTAATAAGTACTCTCCAGTGGCCGACTGGATAAAACCACCGAACTCTGGTAGTTAGTCGTGGGTACGGACATGGCCACATGGAGTTTTTCGGCTTTTCTTCATGTTAATAACACCTAAATAAGAACCAGCATTACATAAAAGTCTACTATATAAATATATTCATTTAAACTTATATGTATGTTTATATACAGTATACACACACATACATACGTGTATACAGAGTATTTTAGAAATGTTTGGACAAATTTCACAGGTTTATAGAGGAGTATACCTAAATAAAAATGTTAGGATCGGGAGTTAATTGATGATATTTCTACATTCCGAAATAAACAGTGTCGATCTACCGGCGTCAAAAAGGCACAAAGATGAAACGACATCGAATTCTTGAGATTCAGTTTGAGTAAACTGTTGAGTCTCACCAAGTCGCAGACGACCCAAGTTGTTGGTATCATCCGGCTTCAGGTAATGTAATGTGCCAATAATGTTTGGCTCCCAGGACAACTTACAGAATCTAAAAGATCTCGACACAGATTCAGACTGGTACTTCATCTCGGGAAGCGGAAACTGTGTTCCCTAGTTCCATGCGCTTCCAAAGAGACAGACGAAATTTTCACACCGAGAAGGAGTATTAACTCCCATAGCTTTTAAAATACTATGAATTACGTGGATTGAAAAAAGTAATAATAATAACTATTGAGAAGCAGAGACCCACGCATGCACCTCACCCCGCAAGAATTTCTTCTCTAACTACCGCGAACTCATAAACTTTTACTGTTCGTTATTGTTTCCTTTAACTAGAAATGATTACCGTAGTAATTCCGTTGAAATAATATCTTAAAATCATTTGCTAATAACTCTGATTAAGCTTCATATTTACAGATTTTCCTCCTCTATAAGCATGTGAAATTTAGACAAACATTTCTGAAACACCTTGTACAGTATATGTAATTCGAGTAAACATAACTAAAGTACTTCTATTTTACGATGTCTAGAGAGATATTCAGCATTGCATACGCAACCAAATTTGATGTGGTGACATTTCAGGACGTGCGGAAGACATTTCCTTAAAAAAGTACCAAAACCAACCACTATGTCACTCTTGGTGCTTTGTATTCGTGTGATTTTTATTTGTGGGACATTTAAAAAGTGTGGTTTATCGAGAACATATTGCAAATTTGTTATCTTCGAAAGACATGATCACATTGCAAATGAAATCATCATAAAGGATCAACTACGATTGGCCTTTGAACACATTGTTCATTACCTTCATGTTTTACACTTATTTAAGTGTTAGTCATGAATTTTCTTCACGTGTCTAACACTTAAATAGCAGACAGTTTCTCATAGGAAATTCTTCCTGGAGACATCTCCATGTGTTGCGTTGCCTTCTTACATCAATGCTATCTTATCCTATCGTAAAATATATAAATATATATTACATATTTAATATATATATATATTAAATATGTATATTGTCCCTTGTTATGTGTCTTTAGTTGAACATTGCAGATTTTTATTACGATATAATAAATCTGAAATGTTCGAATTGGTGAGTAGTAGTAGAAAATATAATTATATCGCCATGAATTTTTATAAAATATAATAACATAATAAGAATTTATAATGTATATTTAAATTATTTGTAAATATAATGTAGTTTATGATAAGATAATTTTAATAAAATGTGATTTTTTTATTGGTTTATAGCAAACGTTAAGTCAAGAAGTGAGGGATCTTCAAAGTAACTATGAAACTTTGCAATCTTACTATAATCGTATAGGAGTATTGGAATCTAATATGACACAAATCATCAGAAATGTAAGAAAATTTTGTTAATATAAGCCTAAATATTTTTATAAATCATATTCCACAATCGTATTTAAAACTATGGTATGAATTTAATAAAAAATTAAATTTTGTGTATATTTAATCATTTTTTAAATTAAAAAAAAATGGCGTGATCTCCGGTCCAGACCTGAACTTCGTACATAGCTAATCTCTTAAGCTTTCCATATCTGGATCGAATTTTAGTAGTGTCTTGCCCCTGTACATTATACACCTTTTGATAACAATCGAGTCATCCCGGTCATCTATCTAACTCTGTTATCGAGATTAATGAAGGACGGACGGACAGAACACAGTGGAAATTATAAATCTGAAATTTAAAAATTGCAGCCTAATAAGACAAATACAAAATGACAAACAGAAGCACGTAGCACGTGGTTCAGGAGTGTGTATTGATATTAGTTGAGTGATTTATGTGTAATAAACTCGCGCTGTGATTTATACACAGTATTTCACGATTTCAATGATTTAACTTGTGTTTAGTTTGAATTATTAATAAATAAATATCCTAATTTTTGTCTCTTTCATCGAGGAAAACGAAATTAATTATTTTATTACAATATATTTTACTAAACGATCTTAAACAGATAAAATAAAGTTAATTGAAGCATTTATTCTATAGTCATATCTAATGTATTTTATACTTTTCTTTTAGTTAAATACGCTCAGAAGTCAACAAATGAGTAGAAGCCAAATAAGACAGAGAGTAAGATATTTAAATTTTTTTTATAAATGAAATCGTTTTTAACATTCGAAATTGTATTTAATAAACTAAAGTTTATCAGATATAAATCAATGATACGTATTGTTAATTTGCTTATACACTTGTACAGTACATAAATAGAGAGGTTGCGACCGACATTTTCAACGCGAAAACGTGTACGTCGGACGTTCAGCGCCACCTTCTTGTAGGCCTAGAAGTTTGACAATGGCGTTTGTAACGTCAGTGGAATCATGATCGACGTTCCAAACGCCATTGTCAAACGTCTAGGCTTACGGGAAGGCGGGGCTGAACGTCCGACGTACACGTTTTCGCGTTGAAAACGTCGGCCGCAACCTCTCTAATATGTATATTTTTTTAAATTTAAAACTCCTACTCTTAAGCATTTTATTCTTTATTCCAATAGTTTCAAAACCTTGAAAGAAGTGTTAATCAATTGACAGAGGTAAGTAAAACTTTTTCACATGTGTTAATTACTTAATAAAATATTTTCAAATATTATTTGCTATCTTTGAGCTTGAGATTTTAATTTTCATTTAAACTTCACTTGAAAAACGATTTAGAAGTATCAAAATATGTATTAAACTTAGCCAAATGTCGAGGACCCTTGTATCATCATATTGTTACTACGGATTATATTAAATAAAAGAGCAATAATTTATTGTAACATCGTCACAATGCCGGACTGCAAATTTTTAGATCTCGATGTACAATGCTTTTGATTGTAGTAGTGTCTTGCCCCTGTATATCATACTTTCCTGTTAATCAGAGTCATTCCAGGTTATCATCTATCTTACTTTATTCTAAATTAAAATACTGATGAACTTTATAGATTATAAAATTTATAGCAAGTGTTAAATGGATAAAGTGTCTTCAAAATATGAATAATACTAGCTGTTACCCGCGACTTCGTCAGCGGAGGTTTTGCAAGCAAACCCCATTTACATCCAATATTTCAATAACCATAGTAATTGTTATATAACACCTACCGCTGAAGAGAATTGCCGAAAATCAAACGAACTATTTTCAATTTGATCAATTTTCTGAAACGTTTACAATCGTTCTATAATCGAACCAATACGCAATAACAAATTCGAATTTAAAAC